AATTGTCCAGCTCAGCGAACAAGCCAACGACCATCTATGCTACTTGAGCTACCGACATTTTCCTCTATAGATAATCCATCAAGATACCATGAAAATAAACTCGGAAGTATCGATCAGTATGTGTGTCACTTCTCAACCGCGCACTGAGGACGAGACGCCTACAATCAAATAGCCAACCAAAAGACACATTATTATTGATCTCAGAGGAGTGGAGTTCCAGGTGATATCAGAAGAAAGCTTTCTAATTTTTCACTCCCCTAGATGGTATCTTAATACTCGCCATCTGAATAACGAAATAGTGTTTGAGCCAGGGGGCTGTCACGGTATGACAACATTCAATACTGTTAATCGGTGTAGACGGCTAACAGAGTCCAGCAGCAGATAATATCAGCTGCGATGCGAAAGCAGTATCGACCTTATCTAAAAATCAATAATCGACTGGTCTAAATGCTTCGAATGGGCGCGGGCAAGCATTTCTATGCCAGCTATAAATGCCTGTTGTCTACATTTACGTTGATGTAGTGTCTCTTGGATCTCAATCAGGCACTGATCCTAACGAGGTTGTTAACACCTTGGCCATGTTATTGAGAAGAGAAAAAACGAAGATGTTTGTGTGACTGTTGTCGAACGTTACGTGCATCTCCTCTCAGTGAGCCACTCAATCTTGATTCAGTTGAATCTGATAAATGCCGATTTCTTTGACAAATCAGGTAGCAAATGTCCTTCGAAAAAAAAACAGGTTAAAACGAGACAATGGAATCTCACCCCCCGCATGTTTTGGAGTGAATGCTAATGATACACGGGGCCCGCCCGGGCAATCGATTGAAGCCGATCGATAGTTTGACAACGCACGAGACAAAATAAGACATGCACTTACTAGCAACACTATTCGTCAAACGTTGATAACTACACAGAGGCAGATTGATGTTCGTTCGGGAATGTAGGCTACTATATTTCTGTGACCACATCACTGAAGGTCTGGTTAGAGGTTGTCAAGCCAGACAGTGTGTACTTTCGAATAGCAGTTCTCGTTGCGCACTGAGGCGAGTTAGCAAACGCTGCTATCGATCGTTTCGAACCAGGTCAATGTCTGCTTTCTAGTCATGCTGGTTTTCCGAATAAAAGGACGACACCACACACAGACACTGTAACGCGAAACAAAACCAATAACACGGTAGTCGTGTTCCTTGTCTTCGAGGCAACCGTGTGATCTGAGTTCGAATCTGTAAAAATCCTGTTGATCTAAACCGATGAGCCTTGATCGTTTTAGTTGGATATTTTATCATTTCGAATACGTCAGATCGTATTCGCCGGTCACCAGCGGATCAAAATCAACCATCCGCCATTTTCGGGACTCATCATCACTTTCGGACTCATCCACCAAGGAACACCCGAGTCGGCGCTCATGGCGAACTACGCTTATTTGCAATTAGGTCGGTGTTAACGCGACATTCAGTTGAATCCTAATTCAACTGAATCCGTTCCTTATGACGGAAGTCGGCGGAGTGAACCGTCCTCTCGTGGTGCTAAGTGGATGAGCTAAGAGTTTAGCATCTCCAGACAGAGCTGACAAACTTGTTTGGTTTCACCATACCGATTACTTTCGACAGTCAACAACGCGAACAACTACACCAGTACGCAGGACAGACTCGTGGGGCTGGCGTGTGAGGACTACGGCAATCGCCGCAAGCTAAATTCACGATCATTAAAGTTTTGCCTTCCAGTTGGCCTGTGATGAGTGTTCCTGCCGATTTGACATTTTGGAATTTGTTCGAGGGTCACAATCCAGCATCGTGATACCGGAGCGAGTTCTGCGGTTAGGAACCGTATCATGTGCCGGCTAACCATGATCATCATCATCATCGACAGCATGACACCAGTGCTCAACGCCGATACTTCACTGCCGTACCACCATGATTTATTTGGAAGCCTTACTGTGAAGGAAAGAATAAAGGTGAACGGGGAAGGGACTTGGTGTTAGCTTGCCTACACCTCCAGACATTCACTCACGCAATCTGGATAGAAACTGACAACAAGAACGCCACTGACATCGGTTGGCAGCCATATCTCGTAGTGTCTCCAACCAGGCGCAGTGGGGATCACGCCGTCCCCATTCTGGAAGGCAAGAAGCACCGACAGCACAAGCGTTTCGTGATCTCCTTCATACTCCTCTGCCAGGTCAGTGTGACCACCTTTGTGCTTCCGCCACTCTGAATTGGGTACGGAAAACAGCACTCTTCGGCAAACGATGGTTCGTTATACGCAACACATGTCCCAGCCAACGCAGCTTCTGGCACTGGACACATTCTTCAATTGCACAACCGAAAACGCGCTTCCCAATTGCCTCATTAAGGACTCATCGACACCAACTCACACGAGCTATAGTTCTGAGACAACGATTATCGAACACCTGAAGACATCTCAGTTCCGCTGCTGGGATAGGCCAAGTCTCACAGCTAACCAAAAGCAGACTAGATTAGCAGACTACGCTACCATCTAGAACGTATACCCTCAGAGGCGGGAAGATGCATCGTCCAGTGTTGGGTCTCGGAAAATGCAGCCTACTTTCGGATGCCGAACAATACTCGATACAGATCCGAGTTGGCATCAGTTCGGTTCGAAGATTTGCAAACAAAGTCAGACGCAAAGGCTTTCAAGCTGATGTTGAATAGTAAAGTGCATTTAAGGGGTACGGAGAGAAAGAACACGGTTATCGCGATCGTTCGAAGCATATGATGGATATGCTTTGGTGTGCTTCGGTGCTCGTACGTTGAAAGTACACCTTGTTCCGTATGGTTGTACGAGGGCTGGGATACTGCCAGGGCGCCCACCCCTAGACAGGAGGACGATTAGGGTCCTCAACCAAAGCCTTTGGCTCAAAAGCCTAACCGCTGGGCAGCGGTGTTTGGCGGAAAATGCAAATGCATTACCATTTCTACGGAACAAGTCACCACATGTTCCAACCCCCAACCTGGAGGGCCAGGAGACTGTGTTCGTCAGACCTCTAACCATTGACCAACCTGGTGTGAGAGGCTCTGTGAGTGTCGCGGGACACTCTCCAGTATAGCTCAATGGATCGCTGAGGTACACAAACTGCCACACCACGGTAAGGTCCAGTCTCTTAGTATGACAAGGCCGTAGGTAGGTGTTAGTGAGATAAACGAACAAGGCTTTATAGGAACTTCCAGTCAACTTTGCTACGCATACCAGTATTAAATTATCTAAGCGTATCCCTTTGCGAACGGCATTCTGCGCAGATTACAAGATACAAAAGGATAGAAACTGACAACAAGGACGCCACTGACATCGGTTGTCAGCCATATCTTGTAGTGTCTCCAACCAGGCGCAGTGGGAATCACGCGTCCCCCATCCTGGAAGGCGAGTAGCACCGATAGCACCTTCATACCCCTCTGCCAAGTAAACGGTTGGCCACCTCTCTGCTTACGCCACTCTGAAATGGGCATAGAAAACAGCACTCTCTTCGGCAAATGATGGTTCGGTATACGCAACACATGCCCCAGCCAACGCAGCTTCTAACGCTGGACACATTCTTCAATGGAAGTACCCGTTGCACAACCGAAAACGCGCTTCCTAATTACCTCATTAAGGATTCACCGACAAGCAGGTTACAAGATAGAAAAGGATTGACACGTTTACACAGGAATTTACCTGACCTACGAACTCAGACTGTACCGTGTGCACTCACATTTGGGCGTGAAATAGGACTGGCTTGTTTCAAGTGGTATGAGACAGTTGTGATGTGTACGAGGCTCGATGGGGCATCGTGAAAAATCCCCTAGTTAACCTGCACTCTTCGACATTTCGAATTCATCGTCACCATCATCAACTTAGAAAAAAGCGCGCACTTGCCTGGCCGTGGTTATAGCTGGCACAGTTTCTTGGGCAGGTGGGGTAGACAGCTACGCATTGCTCGTGGTAGCTGATACCAGTACTACATAAATACAGTGGTATCAACGGCCAATTCATCAAAGAGATGAGGGAATATAAACTCATTTGCAACCTAATTTGGTTTTTCGAGAGACACATCAGGAACCCAGCTGTATCTCTCGTTTGTGATGTTTTCAGGCAACTGAATGTGCTGCACCAGGCCGCCTCATGTTTCAGTCGCGACGATATGCCTGAGAACATCATAAACGAGAGATTTAGCTGGGTTCCAGGTGAGTCTCTCGAAAAAACAAATTAGTTTGCAAATGAATGTGTCTTCGCTAATTTCGTGCAATTTGGTTTCAAGTAGAACATAAGGTTGACGGAAACCCGGGGACTACGCCTACCTGACGAGCCCCAAAAAGGGCGAAACTGGTCGTGGGCTGTCGACGGATTTTCAGCAACCTTATGAGTAGTGCATTATAAAGAGGAGACCTTTGCTTTGCAGGTAACAGCTCGGATACATGAGCGCTGTTGATGACGTCACTGGGCCATGTCTGACAATATCTCTAACCATTGGCGTGTCCTGTATCGGGGTCCCCATCTACGGAGACGGCAGTGACCCACTCAGCTGAGTTTCTGGTTACGGCTTTCATGCTTCATCGCCAAGTCATTGTTTGAACTCTCCGGAATCGTTTCCACCCTTCGGGTAGTTGTGCGAAAAGAGGTCGGTCGACCGCCTTAAAGGTCGACTCGACCTCATTCAAGATAGGTTAACCACACTAGGATCGAAGATAAACCGTGCTCGAAATAAGGGGATTGTTGCCTACCATTTATGTAACAAATAGGGAATCCAATCCAAAACTGTGCCGGCATTTCTTGAAGTCTCTATGGAGCCGCACTGTTAGTTTTGAAAAGGTAATCAACTGCACGGATCATTGATCTGAGGTGATGGTTAGATACTCAGCCAATTTGGAAATTGGCTGAAAAAGTTTACCCACCGAATTCCATTAGCATTATTCAACAGCTGTGTTCCAAAGGCAAACAAATCACCACAAATACCCCACAAAGTGGACATTCTCTTCCACACCTGCTCGTCTATCAATGGGACTGGAGAAAACGTTTTGCCATGCAAACTGATTTCATCAACGCAGTCTTTGAGCTTCAGGAAAAAAGACATAAAAAATGGTTGAGCCACGGATACACTGACACGAAATATCATATATTTCCTCCAGCCCATGAGCACGGATACAAGTTGCTGGTCATATCTAATGGAGCTAACGTTCTCGAGACTTGCTGACCAGAAGTGGTGTGGTTCTAACCCAACCCCAACATCTCGACTGCTCTAGTCTAGACCTCGACAACCTGTCAGTATCCCAGACCTTGTGCCGCATTCGGTTGACATCAAAAAGGCTTTTGGAGCTAAACGATTAGAAATGTGGCTAATCGGCCGTTATCACCTGTGCCAAATGCTACGGACTAGAATACCACAGTGACCGCCGTGTAGGTCATCACTCGGGGACACAAAAGAAAAATAACCATCTTTATGCAAAATCTGTTTGCTTACGCGCTCTCCGACTCGCAGAGAAATCTAGGGATTTATATCCTCGTCCCCACTTTCAACGCACTCTTCTCGTCAAATTGATCGAAATTAGGTTCACTAGTGGGTGTAGAGTGCATGAGTCCAGTTTACGTAGACGATCAGAGTGCAGTGGTTATTGTACGAACGGATATCTTTTCTCCGTTTTGTCCGAGTTTCATGCCAGTATGATACACTCTCTTCACACCGAATCGATCGAAAATCAGTTTATTAGTGGTTGGAGAGTGCACGGGGACAGTTTCCGTGGGACGGTCAGACCAGTAAGTACTTATCTACTCCACACATGTTCACAAAAATGTGTCCCCCGATTAGCTACTTGTTTATGTACGGTACAAAGCATCATAAAAGCAGAGAACGTTTCTCCGGTATGGCCGAGTTTCATGCCGATATCACGCGAACGGATAGTGAAACGACTCATCCCGGCCAGTGAGTTCGGGTAAAAACGAAGGCATTTACACATAGGGGTGTTGACTAAAAGGCCTTGAAGTTCACATGATCGTCAACCACGTTTTTGAACGATCGGGCAAAAGTGTACATTTGCAGCAAGATAGTGCACACTTTCCTGAACCCGCTTGAGCTGTGATCATGAGTTACGAGGCACGGTGAAGCGGTTTAGGGAACGAATGTAACCCGATCGTGATATCGTGTACGGATTACTACCGGCAACTCAAATCGTGCGATTCAGGAACGCAGGTCTCAAACTTTCGGTCAGACTGTGCGCAAATTGTGATCCGCAGATCCGACAATTACGATAAGAGTTCATGAAAACTCAAGATAATTATGAGGGTATAGTTAATTGCGTGCCGAAGGCACATATCCCCACTAATTGCAAGTTATTTCAGTATGAAAGTAGCTACATTAATCCAAACAACGAAAACGACTGATGTCGAATGAATCAGTCGGCATTAGTTCGGTGCTGAGCAGTATTAAGTCCAGGAATCTTACAGGGGATGTGGACCCGTTCTTGTGGACCCAAAAACCATCTTTCCTCGCTGGCCTTTCCGAACATGCACCGCAAGTGTACTGGTGTTACTAATCGATCGACAACGGCACGAATGAGGCAAACTTGCAAACAGTTGACGTGTACCTACCAAAATCGAACGGTCAATATGAAGCATGGAACAGGCGATCATTCTTCACACCGTTTCGGAGAAAAGTGACTCACAGACTCGTCTGGAAGCTGTTTCATACCATACTGATAAGTAATCGGTTCCAATGGAAACGGAAATGAAGGTTACACACTACCGCAAACCTACTGAACAAGTTCCATTCAGACAAGTCATTAGAACTCTGCCTATATCAAACAGTATGCAGTTTAGGTCACGTGGTTAACTGGGAGTTGATTTACACATTACACTTTTGTTGAGAGATTGGCTGTCGACGGCAGAGGAGTGAAACGGGGTCTGTTCGTATTGTCGCAAACGGGGCGAGATGAAACTCTGTCAGATACCATCAGGGACTGACCAGACCTCTATTGGTCAGGTAGCTAAGTAACCTATGTAGACACCTTGTCATCGTCTTTCTCGGGACCGCTTTTGCTCAAAGTTTCTTTGAAACAGCGGCGAAACGTTATAAACCAAGACCTTCAATCTACCTCTACCTAACCGCGATCGTCTCGCAGTTTCCCACTTAGCAGAACTCATCAGCATATGCGGCGGTGAAGCTCGAACCAGGGAACGGTGGATTCCACATGAGGAAGAACAAAAATATCCAAATAATTTTATGTCCTATAGCCCACCCAATTATGCATTAGTGGTCTGTTTGTCTGTGAGTGGCCGTCATCAACCTCACACAGTCAGTCTCAGCCACTGGATTCATAAACTTGGGTTCGAGATGGCTGAGCGGCAGTAAGTCGTGAACTCACAGACCGGAAGGTTCGGGATTCGAAACCAACCCCGGCATCTCTATTGTTCCTGTTTAAATTTGGGCGACATGACAGTAGCACAGCCCTCCTTCTGGTGACACTGCAGCTAGGTAACGAAACAGTGTTACAGCTAAACAATTACTAGTTTCCCATCGTTCACAAACCTCCATGTATCGATGCTAGCATAGAACAGATAAATATTTCGAGCGCACTGTGAACTTTCGTCCACCGTAATTCAAATTTGAACGAAAGGTATCCGGTGATACGTCAACATCCAATGACACGTTGGTGACCTCATCTTCCCGACAGACCGATTTCACGCAGTTAGAAAACGACAAAACCGGTGATGACTCAACATTCGTAATCAGCTTGTCAAAGTGAATGGCACTTTCGCGATATACACTCATTTGCAGCCTAGTTTGGTTTTTCGAGAGATCCACTTGGAACCCAGCTGAATCTCTCGTTTGTGATGTTCTCAGGCAACTGAATGTGCTGCACTAGGCCGCCTCATGTTTCAGTCGCTATGATATCCGAGATATGGCGACTGTATATCTTTGTAATTTACTACTTATAAGGTTGCTGAAAATCCATCAGGGCGCCTACCTGATGAGCCCCAAAAAGGGCGAAACTGGTCGTTGGCTGTCGACAGATTTTCAGCAACCTTGTGAGTAGTACATTACAAACATATGAATGACACTTTGTTTACAGGTCGCCGAAATTCAGGAAAGATTGGTGACATACAGTGTGGGTTTACGTATTTGTGTGTAACTCTGAAACAGTCATGGCTGACTCCGGTTATTGTCGGCCGAATGAAACGGGACTCAGGAGACGGATCGATGTGCGGTACTTGTAGCTACACTTTCGCCACATACATGATTGTACAGGTCACCGAGATCTATCTTTTTTCCTTGCACTCACAAATCACGCCAAACAATCGTTACTAACTTTACTACACAGCTCACAGTCAAACCCTGGATCCCAAGTCCTCGTTTTTTCCCTACACGTACAAACCACGATACACAAGGATGACTCATCCGATATCGACTGTCTACCGTCTGATACGGTAGCAACAAGTCATGTGCTGATACCCACACACATGCAAACGTCCTACAGACAGGATGCCAGCACAGCAACATGACACAACTCAACGGAGCTTCGCACGTCACCCAGCTCGGAGCAGAGCCGCTTGGGACTAACGTCGTTTCACTCACGGATATCCAGGGCTACGAGTGGCTGTTACGACAGCGAAGGAGACACAAACCTGCATCCGGATTTACAACAGGATTTATCAAACTGTACCGGCAAAACGATAAGTCCCTTGTTTGCATATATACCTGTTGTAATAACTTACTCAACAAGCAGACATTGTTAGTGCTCTCCGTTTTCTCGTTCATACAACTAGTTTTCGGGTTCTAGTAGAGCATTAACATACTCAGGCAACTAGAGAAAGAGGAACGAATACCGAGATTTAACAAGAAAATGTTTGAGCGAGTGAGTGGGATGCTACGGTGATGTCTGTCTATTTATCTCCTCCTTGCATTTCTACGAATTCCCTTCTAATGATATCCTCTGCAGCATGACCAAGCACCCGGTCGAAAGGGGTGGCTTTGTCAATTTTCACACTGGTTACTTCGAGGACGCTGTAGCACACAGTTAATCCGGGGTGTGATGGCTTTAGGCGTGTGATGCTGGAATTAAATTGACAGGAAACGTCATACAAACCAGCTAATAACGGTTTTTCGCCTGAATTGTTTTAATGAGGATATCAATCTCCCTGTGACCCACCTTCCAAATTCCCGCCTGGTACCTTCCAGGTTATGAATAAGGTTATTCTAATCCGTTTCAAACTCTAACAGAATAAGTCGCCTTTCAGACGTACAGAGAACTGTTACCACAAGCTATAGGTCGGACCAAGTCTGATGCGGTATTCCACATCGGTTCAGGAATTCGGGACAATTAAGAGCACCCTTTAGATTCATAGCTGATGCTCAAGCCTAGACAGTGGCAGCTGAGATCCCGGCAAGTACGCGCCCTAACCACTGAGCTTGCACTACCGTTCATCCACGACGATTGAGGCAGACGTCCAATTTGAAGCCAAACGGGCAATAGTGTAGGCACTCGCCTACTGTTCAATAAATCCATATATCGTACTGCTTAGCTCAGTTAACTAGACAGAAGTTACTGCGCACTGTCTTCCACTGAAATGTATTGATTTACGTTTGAATTTCACATTGTCACGCGTCACACAAGACAGGCAATTGGTTAATTTTACGACTCTCGTACGTTGCAGTCACTGCCGATAAATGGTCGCATCCAAAGCCTATTCGAAGACAGAACGGGCTTGACAGCATGGGTGAATTGAGAAAAACCAAAGAGAGACACTTACGGCTGGTGCTAAGAAACTATAAACAAATGAGAAACTTCACGAGAAAAAGAAGAGGCACGAAGAAAGAGGACAACTCGACAGCAGTAACAAACGTAACGCAAGCCGGCGAACGAAGGACTAGTTCTCTCGTATTTAACCGTGAATAATAGCCAGAGGAGTATAACTACATGGTGGTAGGTAGACCACGAACTAGAGGACAGAGGAACCCGGTTACGCGACCGAAGAACAAGGCCCAGGTAGTCAACCAGACTAACGTTGCCAATCTGAAAACTGCACTACATGCCGCGGCTAATGAGGTAGCCAAGCCGGAAACAAACTTTCCAAATGAATGGAAGAACATAAACTGACAATAAGATACTGTTGGAGGTCCGTACATGAAAACGAAGGAAGTCCCCGAGTTAGTTTGGGTAATTTAAGGATCTTGGCTAATGCAGGTACGAAACAAACAATTGAATCTCGGATCACGGTACCGCACGACTTACTCAATCAACTGTTATATGCGCTCCCCCCGAACAAACGCTCAGCTCAATCGGCACCGGGGAACCATCGGAACAAAGGTCACGGGGTAGAATTTAGGTGAACTGAATCAATCCAGAGTAGATAACCCGGATGTCGTCCAATCGGATCTCGCTGCATTGAGCCACCCACTACAATCAACCATCTAAACGATCAGTCATGCGTTCAGGATTCACCGCTGCCAAGACTGTAAATAATTACATACCCAATACTAATCAACGGGTACAAAACTACCAACCGGAATCCATCTAACTACCGATGACGTCACCCTGAGTGGTTGTGACAGGTTGAGTAAACAAGGTAACCGTCACTGGTGAGGGTCGCTGAGCCGTTTTCTGATATCCCAAAAAAGTCCACACGTGTTCACAAAGAATGTAATGAAAAATGGAGCGGGGGTGAATACGCCTGGAACGTGCGGCCTTCTGCGAAATCTCAAAAGACTTTCTGACAACTAAAGCAGTGTTGGCTCAACCAACCTTCATAAAAGACAAGCCGCTGGTTCCTCACACACTTTCATTCCTTAAAGGAACCTCTAAATGCTTTCATTGTCTCCGAACAGTGCCTAGTTGCAAGGTACCGTGCGCGAGACGTCAAGAGCACAGGCGTTTTCATGTTTGTTGTTCCGTCTCTCTCTGTGTGTTTGTGACAAAACCCGGAAGGCACTGCTGAACTATCTCAGGTACGACGTCACCCATGCTAACTGCGCGTGCCTGTCTGCCTGCCTGCCTACCTGCCTCTGGATACTGCGTGATGCCGTTTCCGACACGTGTGTGTGTGTGTGTGTGTGCAGACTGCGCACACAAACGCACGCACCGATTGATCGATCTACACGCAGTCACAACGTGTAATGAGCGCTGGTAAACATGCTGGTTTTGGTAACTGAACGCACACTAATTAACTGGTTTCTTTAGACCCCACCTGTAACATGTGTTTCTGTTGTTAACCAGATAGATGCTGGCACAGGTAAGAATTTAGCTAACTTGTACAGTACGGTTTAGAAAGAAAACTTTCGCTGAGCTCACGGAGGAGTACGATATTGTTCTACACTGTCACGTTACTCTGACGTTCTTTCAAAGTCATTCGATGGATAAAAAGACACAATTGATAGACGACATCCGCGGTTATACCTTGATTTAGGGGCAAGATGGCTCAAGTGGGTGGAGCGCGAATTTACTGACCGGAACGTCCATGGTTCGAACCCGACTTCCCCTGTCTAGGCTTGGGCAACCTGGCAGTATCCCAGCCCGCGTGCAACCTTCGGGTGGCATGGCAGCTGGGCACCAAAAGGGTGCTCACAAGTAGAACAACTTGTCCCGGATGAGGAAAAGATCTGATAAGACGGAATTTCAACACTTGGTTTACAAATCCAGAGCCTGATACTACATAAAGACTATGTCCTCCTCTTTGGGACGAACCTCTAGTGAGAACACACTCTGTACCAAAGTCGATCTGGTTGAAGGAATGCCCTTTATGGAACCAATGGGTGGTGTAGACGATCACAGTTTTTTTCCCATTCAGCGGAATAAGACACAATTGGGCACACTATAGAGGCACTGCGTGGATATCATGTGTAGTAATTGCCACTTTTGAGATCTCTTCATTTGGATCTTTTCATTTCTGGATAATTCGGTTGAAAGCCGCAAATTACGACACTCTGTATCCTCAATTGGATCTCTTCATCTCTGGATAATTCGGTTGAAAGCCGCAAATTTCTACATATACCAATAATGAGATCTCATAGCTCGTACAAGCTGGTTAGTATCATAGCTAGTGGAGACACCAGGCTGGCCACTTTATTCGTTTTTCGTTTTATTGATCTGACAAAATAATGGTACCGATTGATTGCAATCGGTATTGTTGAGCGATCGATGGTTAGTACGCTGAGGATCACATTCCGGGGCTTGGTCAAGAAGGGAGAAGAGATATATCGGTCTAAACGACGGAAGTTGATAAATGCCAACAGTCGAACGAACCACATTCCTTTTCGGACCTTCTGTTAGCGCTAGGAAAGGCTAATCTGGAAGTGTGTAACCTATTGACGTGAAGATGATGTTCATGGGATTCGAAACTACTAATCTATGTGAATCTGCCCGTGATATTTTGCAACCAGTTCGCAAACCACGACTATGTATTGTGTTCAGTCCTACTTGTTTGGGAACTTCGTGATAATCGCTTCGAAGTAGCAAGCAGTCATTTTTACTACTTGTTTTCTTCCCTTGTTGACTTCTTGGTGTAACAAGCCGTCGATTTCTCGTTAAAACATGCTATTTTAGTCGTTCAGCTGTCAAGTCGCTAGAATGAAGCACGAGGGCTTGGATACTGCCAGGTTGCCAAAGCCCACACAGAGGAAGTCGATGAGCAGAGGTCGGATTCGAACCACGGACCTTCCGGCCAGTAAATTCCCGCGCTAACCACTAAGCCATTTCGCAACATGCACGGTTAGGCCAAATCAAATGTACATTACGTTACACATATTCTTTGCCGGTTTTAAGTTCGCTTTTTTTCGTCCAAAATCCAAGATGGTTTGTGAAAATACCGTATCAGAGTAGTAAGGAAAACGAATCGAAAATGCCTTGGTGAAATACACTGATTTGCAAATCAGTTTGTGTGAACAGGAGACGCATGTGAATCCAAACTGAATTTCTAGCCCACTTTGTTATTCAACTGAACGTACTGCACAAACACCACCTCACGCTCACGATATTGCAGTATATTTTCTCGACGAAACACGCTACACGCAAGGTTGACGGAAACTCGGGACTGCGTCTACGTAATGAGCCGATCGTGGGCCCTCGAAGAGTTTTCAGCAACCTTATGAGTAGCGTTTTCCGTCATGGAAATGAAAGTTCTGAGTGTGATGATGTGTCACCACTGTTACGAAATTAGATTAACCTATCCGCGTTTCTACGAAGGCGGTCTAGCCGTGGAGCTTCAGATCGAAGGTAGAGTTGTACCGAGGATTCAAGCAGGGACCGGTTTCCTCCACTAATATTGAGTGCCACACAGTTTGTATTCATTCGGACTATGATATTTCCAGGGTCAATGTGGCGCTTAACCTTCTTGCTTTGTGGCTAGGGTTAGGTTAAGTTCGAACCCAACCCCGGTATCTTGATTGTTTCTGTTTAGGCTTGGAAAACCTAGCAGTATTCTCACCCTCATGCTTCTTTCAGGTGGCATGACAGCCACTCACTGAAATCGTACTACAGCTGAAGGATTGTTACTGATGTAGTAACATATTTCGGAACAAAGTACTCAATGTCTTCCACAATAAAATCAGAGAGTGCACCCTTGAGAAGTTAGGCAATCGAGAAGTAGCCTTTCCTTTCAGAAAATCCTTAACAGTTTCAGGGTAAACATCGGTCGATTACACGCTTCTGACGTCACCGTTTTCTGGTTCTTCCTAAAGATGATTGTGATGTTTAAAAACCTTTTGAAAGGCCTCAGCTTGACAATAGTATGCACCAAGTTCACATTCCCAGTTGTTTACAAACAATCTATTCATCCTGACAGAATCTCTTATCCAAGCAAGGGTTATTTTACTCCGGGAAGTTGGGCCGATCCGTTCGTGCTCCTGTGTTATTGATCCAAGTGGCCTGGTTACAAATAGCGGCTCGCACAAGGGTGACTAGGAGGCGAATGAGAAGCGGTTGCCGGGATAGCCGACTCGGCCAAAAAATTTGAAAGGCATAAAGCGCAGTCCCCAGGTCTGGGACTCAGCTGACGGGCATAGAAACTACGTTGGCTAAACCCAAGCGTGTTAATCCCAGTTTTGAAAATGCTCCCACTCCCCTGATGTTAAAACACACTGCTACGGTGCGAACTCAGACAACGAGACGTACTGGTTGACGAGTCATCGAAATCTACCTGCATTGGCGTAGATCAGGCTCAAACCCCTGACCTTCAAGTGGGACAGGTGAGCCCACAGTTCCCCAGGTCGCGGTAAAAATGTGGCAACCCCTCGAAAGTAGTTTACGTGCCTTTCTATAAGAACCAAAAGGTTCGAAAACCTCAGCAACCGGGTCCCTATCGTGCGGTCAATCTATCAGTTGTGTATAGACGCGATCGGACAGACAAAATCCCACTATTCAAGAAGCGAAACCAAAACGACCTTGACGCTCAAATGCATAAAAAAGGAGGACGTTCTGAACCAGCCCAGATTTTATGTTCAGTGGCTTCTGATCTACTGCGGCAAACGATTTACATGGGGCAGGTCCAACTTTCTGCTGACAGCACGCGATTCNNNAACAAACCTTTCAGGTTATGGCTGCTAAATTACTGCAGTTGCCAGGGCATGACCTTGACCTCATTTACGTATCTTAGACTGGAGTGATGTTCCCAACACGCATGCCAAAGGAAACTCTTGGAAACCACCGTTCACTGGGATGAACTGGTGTAGCATGAAATCAGATGACTGGTGCATCTGTGGTATTTAGATATCAGTATGTTAGGACAGGAGAACAACTGTTTCCCATTTGGTCTAGATTGTTTCAAATATCATATTATCTAATCGATAGTTTGCAGTTGTTCTTGTCAAAGGCACAAAAGTTTGTTGGAAAATGTATCTGTGTTTGACCTATACTACGTCTAATCGCAAGCGGTTTGTTCCAGTTTTCACTCAAAACAATCCAGGATGTACGCATGCAGTCAGTCAAGTGATCCATCCGGCTAGTACTTACAAAATATCAGTAGTATGCTTAAAAGTGGTTGTCATTTATAACGCCATTGTAGGTGGTGTATTTTTAAACCCTTATTTATAATTGAGACGATATTCCTTGTAGATAAGAAGTAATCGTGGGACCGATCAATCACCCATTGTTCAAAAGATGACTGTTCTACTTAACCGGAGTAAGTTGCGTTCTCGAGTCCACTCCTACAGTTCATGGGCCCAAAGCCCAATCGAGTGGATAGTACGAATAAACTAACATAAGTGTTTATCAGGTGTCCTACGTTGTATGCAAAAAATGACAATATTATGAATATACAACGGATGCGCAATTGGTTTTGTGTGAACTGGATGGTCCTAAATTGTTTTTAATTCACTAGCTGCCGGAACAATTTCCTGGGATAGTATCGAAACCACCGGTCTGGATTTCAGTAGTAAGCTCATTTTTTTCAAACCTAGCATACGGACAACTAGGACAAACACACTACTCTCAGCAAAATACCAGGTTTAAATGATCTCTACTTTAGAATGAATATGCAACATACAATTTAATGACATTCAATACGTTGGTGCAACTTACCGTCTTACGGCGATCACGCCGTTTCGATTTGCCAAACAGCTTGATGATTTTACACCTACAGAGTACGGAGCGATTCCCTCGTTTGTATTACACGCCTGGATGCTGACAATCCGCCGTCTGTTTGGATCGATATCCAATATTAGCGTATTTAGATGTACGTTTTTATTCCTAAGCTTCGATCGCTAAAACTAGGTTATATCCAAATTGCCTGCCACCGTGGCTGACGAATTGCTCTGCACCACTGAGTGGCGCAGAGGTGAGCGCATTGTTCACGCGCATGCATACCACGCCACCACGGAAGTCGTATTAGCCAATCAGGTGTCGAGCTTCCGCCTACGGCTGGCCTTCACCCGATTGGTTGGTCTGTGCAGGCGACCACATGCTTTCTGCCGACGACGCCATACTTGGGCGTGTTACGTGGGCAACGGTTGACTCGAGGTCAGGGTGTCCAATACAGGGGAATTTTGATGAACGCGCTTTTCAGCACTTATTAGTCCATATAAGGCTGCAAAAGTGCATGGTTATCGATACATTCATTCTCGAATTCGTACTGCCACACTGGTACATCCATGTTGAGACAATTTTCACGGTTGATGGTGCTTTTTACGCACTGTGATCCTACCTTTTCGCCCACAGGTCGACCAAGAATGGACAGGGGGACACTTAGTTGTAAAAAAATCAGTCTGATGCTAATCGCCTAAAAGCACCGAAAAAGTTCAAGCTAAAGCGTAAGCATACCTAAGGAAACCAATTGATGTACTTTGAGATGTTCGATATTCAAAGTCCAAATCAAACTTATGACACCCAAGCCGCCTGTTTTTCACAACAAACTACACCACTGGTGTTCATTTGGATCCTATAGGTATAATGTGAAACGTTGGAAGCGGTGAAATGATAAAGTACGTGACGAATACTAATTTCTGAACACCTGTGTTCACTAAGTCATTGAGGTAGAAGTTCGCCGATAATATCCGTGACTAGTTGCTATGTGAAAACCAAGACGTGACAGGGGACATGTGAGGAAGTAGGTTGTTTAATGAGGAAAGTCTCAAATAAGCAAAATTATTAATATGGATGATGAAAGTGCAATCTTACATTTCGTCTTGAACATATGGGGTTTTTTGAGAGATCTAAGCAGTCCTGAAAGACGTCCACCACGTAAGTACTGTTGGCTTTACTCACTAGCAAAGTAGAGACAATGTAAGAGATCACGACAACGCACCTTGTCTCATCATTCACACAAAAATGTCGTAGCTTCTCAAAAAAGCCATCATATGGTGGTACCCAACCAGTGGTGGGTTCCAGAAGGCCCGAGATGATGAAAATACTGTTGGGTACTCTCCGAGTGGTGGGTTGACCTATGTTTGGGTGACACCGTCTCATGTGACATACTTGACGAATTTGAATCGCTCCTCTGAAGCTGTAGATTCAGTCGGGTTTGTTCGGTACGGTTTATTACTGTTGTGCGAGATGGCTCAGTGGTTAGAGCACGAATTTATTGACTACAGGGTCCATGGTTCCAACCCGACTCCTGCATCTTGGCTGATCCTGTCTAGGTTCGGGGCAACCAGGCAGTATCCTGACCTTCATGCTTTTTTCAGATAGCACGGCAGCTAGGCAGCCGGGTACGGAAATCATGTTACAGATGAAGGGTTACTTTTTATGTTTTATCTTTTTATTTTCAGCGGTGTAACGGTGAGTACTACTTATAGAGGCGTGAGAGTAGTATGTTTTCTCGTAAATATTTTGAAAGGTGCATAAATCTTGGTAAGTTGTCTGTATAGGGTCGTCCTATTGGCGATCGTAAGTTTGATTCTAGGAATTGGTTGGTAACACCAGGTAACCAAGAGCAAATTTGCAAAGCTCTATCCAGAAGGAGTGGAAACTGTGGCCAACCGGAGAGTTTGGTGCATGCTGGATCACGCATGATGCCAGATGTGCTCGTATCAACATCTCCGTAGCAAAAGGTTTCTTCATTTCACTGTTAGTAGTATCAACAAATCCAATCAGTGTGCTCGGTAAGGCTAACAGTTGAATTTCTATCTGCGCAGTGTCTGTTAGGTGCCTTGCTAAATAATCTCGTTTGGAAAGGCTCAGCAGGGCGTCTTGATTAAACCCCGGATGGAACGGTCCATTGAAGCATACGTGTCAAAGCCTCCAAATTTGAACTGGTGCAACGGAACTGCACTAGGTCCTCAATGACCTAAAGATGAATGGTTTATGTACACTCTGGGTGACTAGAATATCATACGGCGTTAAAGTATGAATGTACAAGTTTTAATTTGGATGACCAAAAGTCCAGATCATCGGGGCATCTTTTGTGATCAATCTGTCGAGGTGTCACACAAGAGTACAGAGCTTCTTGGCTTTTCAGGAAATTCAAACCCAGAGTTGAAACTCTTAAAATTCGTTCCAGTTTTGTATTCCCCCTCAGACGCACAAAACTTGTGTGTCAACCTATGGAGAACAGATTTTGAAAGGTGCATAAATCTTGGTAAGTTGTCTGTATAGGGTCGTCCTATTGGCGATCGTAAGTTTGATTCTAGGAATTGGTTGGTAGCACCAGGTAACCAAGAGCAAATTTGCAAAGCTCTATCCAGAAGGAGTCGAAACTGTGGCCAACCGGAGAGTTTGGTGCATGAACACTCAGCGCCTGATGTGCGAGTCTTGACTGTACTAGCGCCTACCGCGCCTTGAAGAGCATTCACCATTGTTTGTCCTTTCTTCGGTTGTTTCATATCAAAATTTTCCCACACGTTGGGATTCATCTCCTCTGACTGGAACTGTTGGTGGCATGAATTCGAATGAGACGTTTCTATCTTTTCTCTCATATTCTCCTGTTACCCTTCGGCATTCGTCGCTTGCATTCACTTTGTATGTTTGTGACCATGTTCTTCAAAAATACATGACTATAAGGACACAATACTGTTTCATCGGTGCCGTTTCCGAGGGTAAAAACGAATCGGTGTTCTGCCGTAACCTACCGAATATCTGAATGACGTATTGATCAGTGCTCAGTTACTCATTGTTCATTTCATTTCGGAGTTATATAAGTATACAAATGTGTAGATGCATATTTGTACACTGGATATTCTAAGAGATATCACAAAACCTGGTTTATGTTTTGACTACGAAGCAAAAGCCACTACTCTCTCAGATTAGCGGTGTGACTTACGGCGTTGGCTTTTCGTAAAATCGCACTATCACTTACCCTGGCAACAATAAACTGAGATATTGATTACTCCACTGCTCAGTCTTTCGAGTTGTGTTTCTTCTACTGTTCTCAAATCAGTTTCCATGCTTCATTCAGTAAATCCTTGATTTTTTGACTGTTTGTAGTGCTTTGTCCCATCCCGGAGGCTGAGCTTTGGTTAACGGGTGGATTATTCTACAGTGTTTCCGTTGCGTGCGTGTAACGCTTAAACTAGGGCCACATCGACCAGGCAGATGCAATGTCCGCTCGGATCGATAAACTATCTGAGCGGAACTATTAGTCACATGACTAGCGTGGGACCGTTTAACTGAGACTCTCTGACCTAGAAGTTCGGTACGGCCAGTCAGACAGTATGTGGGGGGATGGTGCAGAATTCTGTATTTAGGTTTCAAAAGAAGGGATTCGTCTCAAGCCGTTTGGCTACGTGAGTATTAGTAGCAGATATTGAAGCAAATAAAAAGGAAACAGGCCTTATTTCACGTAAGTTATACACTGGACTTAGATTTTCACCGATGGTTTGTAAAAGCAACAGGTGACATGTGCTGGTGAAATGAATTAATAGACTGAACGTTCAAATCGCTTGAGTTAAGGCAACGGTGATACTACTGATGAGGGAGGCATGCAAGTAGTATGTTTTCTTCTTGAAAAGTGAGATCTATTACGGAATTTGTGGAGTCGCTCTGTAGCATTTGCTTGCAATTGAGTAACAGTCATTGAATATCCGGGAAATTTCAGGAAGGAGCTTTTAAGGTAAAGATGGATATTCAGTTTTGTAAACAAGCTGCATATGAGAGTTTTGCTTCCCAGTCCAATAGTCTGTAACTTTTCAGTTGGCATTTTCTAATAAATGACTCCGCAGTGAAGACCACCTTCCTTTCACCAGCAGTGAATACCACACATGAAATCTCTATCACCTGAATTCTCTCAATCTACTCAGGATAGGCAGATACGGTATGAGTCCCGTATCAAGTGATATTTGTGAAGTAAGTCAGGGGTCTTAAGCAGGAGTTTCATTGCTTCCGCAGGCCTTTTTCCAATCATGGGAAGCGGAGAGTTTGACTGAGGGCGCAGTATGAACACTGTATTCCTCAGCTTGCTTAATTGTGTATTAAGCTACAGTACGGGCTGTTTTGTTGTATGGCTGTGAGACTTGGCCTATTCGAGCAGCGGAACTGAGACGTCTTCAGGTGTTCGACAATTG